GGAACTGGGGATTAAACACCTGGGACAGGGCCACACCTGGAATGGGGGAGAATGGACATGGTTAGTGCAGTAGAAATTAGGGATTAAACACCTGGGACAGAGCCAGACCTGGAATGGAGGGAGAGAGGACACAGTTAGTCCAGCAGGAATTAGGGATTAAACACCTGGGACAGGGAGAGAGGACACAGTTAGTCCAGCAGGAATTAGGGATTAAATAGCCAGGTTTGGGTAAAAGGGCTGCACGATGGGTAGGGGGGGTTTGGGAAATGGGGGAATTGCAAAGGGTCAATGGGGGAGTTATAAAGGGGAATTATAAAGGGTAGAAGCAGGAGTTATAAAGGGCAAATGGAATTGCAAAGGGCAAATTAAGAAATTACAAAGGGCAAATGTGGGAATTACAAAGGGCAAATGGGAGAATTACAGAGTGGAAATAATTCAGGTGAGAATTTTGCCCAGTTTAGTTTTCCAGCTGGTAACTCTTCTCCTTCCCAAGAAACCCTTTTGAACTTCATTGCTTCAATATCTGATGGTATTTTCCAGACCCCCACTGTTTTCACACTAAAAATCTCTTGTCCTATTCCTTCTCTTCTCCAGGGTTTTCAGTGTGTGGCACTGCTCTGTCTCACTCCTATTAATTGAAAGCCACAACTCCCAACCCAATTCCATATTTTAAACTTGGATTTTAATCCTCACTGCACTGGCAAGAGCAGAACCCTGGGGGAGAAGCTCCTTCCCTCCTCTCACCTGGTTCCAGGTGGAACAGAATGATCCAGGATGGAGACCCACCCATCTTTTATTGGTCTCATTACAGATCATCTGAATATTTGAAATCACACAGCTCTTTAAAACCCAACCTGAGATCCAGGCCAGATTTTTCTGGGCATTGTTTAATTACAGATTGTCAGGCCCTCCTTGCCCTGGATTGTGCCCACACTAATTGGGTGAGGAAAACAGTGGGGGAGAGGGATAATTTCCTTTACTTTACCTTTGTGAAACTGGTGTGGAAGGAATTAAGGGCTGGCACAGGGTGGGCTTGGACTGATTTCCTAAAGAAGTCCCTACATTTACCCCAGGACTCTGGGGGAGAGGTAAAATTTGTGTCTCCCTCTAAATATCCCATTTTAACCTTCTAAAATCCTCAGGGCTTCCCCTTCAGCTTTTTCCAAGTGATTCAAGTTGCCTTTGACTCGGAGGCAGGGAAAAGGCACCACAGAATATTGTCCCAGCTAAAAAGCTGGACCTGGAATGGCCAATTTTGGCTTGGGGAAAAGAATTTCTGCCACAGATTGCTCCCAAAGCTGGGATCTTGGAGTGGCCCAAGGCAGAGAAACAATTTGCCAAAGCTCATCCCGGTGCTCACGAAAAGAGATGAAGGAGGAGCACTTGGATGCTCCTTCTGGGTTTGGAATTCAACCCTGAAAATGAGACCAGCTGAAATAAACTGGTTCAAACGTTTATAAAAATAAACCCACTCAAACAGGACCAGCAGTAAAGTGGCTTTTTTTAGTAAGAAAAATCTGTGCAGGATTTTGAAAATATTCAGGACAAGTTCTCCAGCTGTGAGAAGACACCGGAGCCTCCTTGAAGGCAGCTGAGGATGAGATTTAAATTAAAAATTAATGCTTAAAATTATAATTTCTTTAATGAATCTGTGTCTTTAGAATATGAAAGGAGCACTTGCCACTGTAAAATTATTGAGGCTCTTCAGAATTCTGAGGGAGTTTTCTGCCGTGTCCCTGCTTTAAATGAACACCAACAGCTCAAGCTCTGAAGAACAGAACTTAAATTGACTTAAAACCAAAGGATAACAGAAAGGATATTTCTGGAAAAAACACCCCCTTGCCATTTCAGAAGCTTAACCTCTGATTTGATATTTAGCCAGTAATAATAATTGATTTAAAAGGCAATAATTGATTCAAAATTGACTTACCCGGATCACCAAGGAGAAGAGTTAAAGACAAGTGATTAGGAGGGTTCTACGTAGCAAATGCTTTTATACACTTAGTCAAATGGCCTGGAGGATGTGACACCCTTTTTGCATGAAGTCTTAATTAGTTGCAAAACAAACTTTGCTGCATGCATAACTTCTGCAAGTAATGAAACTGTTTTGCTCCCTGTTTGTGTTTGTTCCCTCTCGGACCTTCCCAGAGCTGGATCCATGGCCCAACCTCCAGGCAGGAGCCCCTGAGCCCTTTCCTGGGCCAGAAAAGGGCCTGATCTGCTTCTGGAAGCACATTTCAGTCATGGCAGGGCTCCATCAGGGCTGCTGGGGGTTGCATTGTGGTTTTCCCTCTCAAATTCGGGCTGGGAAAGGGATTCAGGGGAGTAACAGCAGCAGCTTTGCCTGTCGGGAAACAGCTTTTGGGGTTTTAGTTCATTTCCCAATTTCGTCCAGTGTGGAGGAGATTTTTTTATTCTGAAACACCTTTAAATGTAAACCTGCATAGTTTATATCCAGAGAAACCTATCTAGTTTATATCCAGAGAAACCTATAGAGTTTATATCTATAAAAACCTATCTAGTTTATAGCTATAGGAACGTGTGGGTGTCCCTCTCAGGGGATATCCAAGGATAAGGAGAACAACTCAATAAACACTGAGCCATTTTCACAGTGCCATTAAACATCCCTGGGCAGAATCAATCCCAAAAGAAGGAAGCTCTGCCTGGTCTCACATCCCCCCCAGTCTTTACAAACATCCCTCAAATCCCTTGTGTAGGATTTGAGGAGCATCTGGGTTTGTTTCTGGCTCTGAAGGTCTGACCCTGTTGCAATGAAAGGCACATCAACACCTCCCACGTTCTCCTGTCCCTGACTCCAAGTGGAGTCACAGCTTGTTGGTTTTTTTGTTTATTGGGGTCCCCCCCCCCAGTTTTTGACCAGGTTGTAAAGGACAATCTTATAGGAAAGGTTGTGCTCTGAAACTGGTGTTTCCATCCAGGCTCTGTTTTTCTGTGACTGAGGGGGAAAAAACAGCACTCAAGAAATAGCTCTGTCCTGATGAGAACTTAATTAAACACAAGTTAGAGTTGTGAGTTCAATACAAAATCAGTAAATTATTGGAGAAAATGGGTGTGGGCACTTTGGCAACATTTTTATGAGGGACCCAGAAATGTGGATTTAAAAGTGTTTTTATAAAGAGGGAATCAATATGACAGAAAAATTCTAATAAAGGGGAGGAAAATCAGGAGTCCCATGGAAACAGATTTCCGAAGGAGCCACCAGTCAGAGCAGCCAGGAGGGTTTTGGGATAACAGTCTCCTCCTGCCTCGCCAGCTCATAAATCAGAAACAGTTTGATTTAATACATTAAAAGGTGTTGTTAATTTAAATCTCGTTGTCATGCAGGGCTGGGGCTCACTCACCTGGCTGGGGACACACTTCACAGGGCCAGTGCAGGTCCCCGTGTTCAGCCCCGCTGCACAAAGCTCCATCTGCATAAATCCCAGGAAACCTTTTGTTCCCCAGTTCCCACAAAGGCTTTTGCCTTAGGACCCCTCTGGAGCTGCAGGTGATTTATGCTGCGAGGGAAAACTGCGAGTAAATAATAATTAGGACCAAAGGAATCCTCGCTCCCGGTTTGCAGGGTGAGGGAGGGAGGGAAGGAGGGAGGGAGGCAGCTCCTCTCCTGGCACCTCTCGCCGGGAATATAAACCCTGGGACAGAGGAATGAGGATTCCTGGCAGCCTTTGGTGGCAATGAGGTCCCAGGGTGGATTTAAGACAAAGTTTGGTGTGGGGTTAAAGCTTTTTGGCACTGGGGTGACTAAGAGAAGTGGCCCAGCTGGGAGGATTGCCCTGCTCAGGGTGGGAAGTGTTTTATTTATTTATTCATTGCTGTTTACCCAGAGTGCTGGAGGTGTCTCCTGGCAGGGGCAGAGATGCACCAGCTGCTCCGGGGAGCTGAGGATCTGAGGCTGAAACATCTTATTGCATTAAACTGACATTTTGCTTTAATTTGTTAAAGTGGGAGAAAGCACGTTTAGGTTAAATATTGGGGATCAATTCTTTACTCTGGGGTGGGGAGGGTTGCCCAGAGAAGCTGTGGCTGCCCCATCCCTGCAATCGTTCAAGTCAGGTGGGAATATCCTGAGATTTACCCCTAATTAACCTGCCTGAGCCCTGCTCTGCCACTGAGGAGCTGTGGAACACTAAAGCTGTGCAGGAAGGTTATTTCAGCTGAAAATTTGTGTATAAACAGACAGGGGCACTAAATAAATAGTTACATATTTTTATTTTGGTGTAGTGATGTTTGGTCCTTGCAGTTCAACCACTCAACACTCTTTTTAAAGAAAACAATTGGTTGTGTTTATATGAAATACACACAACCTGCTGCTCACAAGCCAAGTGAAGATAAACCTCAAACATGAAGGTAAAATAAAAATTCCATTTTTAACTGACTGCAAACCACCCCAGGCCCTGTTCTTAGGGAGGAGAGCATCGTGTGCAGTAGATCCCTTAATTAATTACTGCACTTGCCCCAGTGGCTCAGTTTTATAGTAAAGCAAAGCCACCTTTTTGGGCACTCCATAAAAATGCTCCTTTGCCCTTCCCTCCCAGCTGGACTTTTCGTTGCCTTTGGCACGTTTTAATTCCAGTTATTATCTGGATTTAATAGCAAAGCACAGAAGCTGAATGAATTGTCAGAGGTCACTCGGGGAGCAAAGGGAGCAGCCTGGAGTGAAGCAGCCTCTCCTCACTGCCATTTATCATATCATGGATAATTGGGATCCCAGCAGCCCTTTGAAGTCTCAACTGGGGTTCCATTGCCTGCCCCAGCACAGGAGGTGCCCACAGCCAGGAGCAGCTGATTAGGCCTGAGAAACAAAGGAGAAGGATTTCCTCCCTCCTGCAGATGCCACAGGGATTAAGGGAGGGGCTGGCAGGGCTGGGAGTGCTTTTGGCCGTGTCCTGAAATGGCTTTTCCAGTTTGGCCCAGGAAAGCTCTGCCAGTCAGGGAGTAAACACAGCCCTGAGTTTGAATTCCTCATTAAACCTGAGGAGCCCCCAGTTCATTCACATCTGCCAGAGCTGTTCCAGGAAATATGGAATGCTTTGGGTTGGAAGGGTTTCCAAAAACCCTCCAGTGCCACCCCCTGCCATGGGCAGGGACACCTTCCCCTGTCCCAGGTTGCTCCAAGCCTTGGACACTTCCAGGGATGGGGCAGCCACAGCTTTTCTGTGCCAGGGCCTCACAGGGAATAAATTTTTCCTAACAGCCTGCTCACAGTGAATAGTGAACACTGATTTCTTTAAATTTTCCCCCTTTCCACAAGACAAAAAAAGTGCCTGGTTTTCCAAAGCTGCTTAAAGTGTTTAAAGTACAATCCCTAATTAAATCCCATGGCTTTGTTTATGTATTTCGAAACTTAAACTGCCACTTAAGAAATCTGCAATTACTGCAAATTACTAACTATGGAGTAATGATCTTCAGTAAAAAAATAATACCTTTTTAATGAAAATCCTGCATCAAAAATCATCCCTTAGGTAATGGTTGGTTCCCAAGGAACAATTGTCTCGATGTGGATTTAGCTGCTTTTCTGAAACACATAAAAGGGAGGGGGGAAATAAAGAAAACAAGTAAATAATAAGAATAGAAATAGGAGGCCCAAACTGTGGGAATTTTCTTAAATTAATTGAAATATTAAGGAAGCCTTTTGTGTGGGAGCTCCTAATTAGCTCCCCAGATTGTTTTTTTTTTAAGTTCTGCATTCTCCCTGGGATGGTCAGACTGGTCCCATCTGCATCTTTGCATATTTTCTGGCCTCAGTGCATAACTAGAGAGGGTCCATCAGTAACCTTGACACGTCTCTCAGGGTGACTTTGCACGCCTGTTTCAGAGCTCTGCAATCTTGCTGGATGCCTGAAATAGGATAATGAGCGTTTTCCGTGGATAACTCATTAATGGCAGTTCGCAAAGTGCTTTGAAAACCCTTCAATGTGAAACCTCCTCGGGCTGTTCCCGGTGCCTGGAGCTGCCCTGGGGTCTGTGCAGAGACTTCGGCTCTGCAGGAACAGCTCAGGAGATTGAGTGAGTTAATAAAGAAACGAGAATAGAAACGAGACATGAAATGCCTTTCAGAGAAAGGGGGTGGAACCCGGAGGCTTTTCCCTGCTGGAATCTTTCATCCCGTGGTGCCCCAGCAGGGCTGACGG